CAGTCCTCGAGGGGGCTGAGAAAGCTTTTCAGCGGCGGAGAATGGGCTATGCAAATTCGCATGGCCATATCCACAGGCATGCTGGAGCTGGGCAAGGGTCTCGGGTCCAAGACCTGTAACATTCTGAATGGAGAAGAAACACAGGATGTCATCATTTATCACATCAGATAAGAAGCTTCTCAAGAATGTGTATTTACTTCATCCATTCTCTTAATTATTCATGGCTTCATCTCTACACAGTTTTAAACAATGCAGCCTAAAATAAAAATTGACAATTCTGCCTAAGGAACCACGCTGAAACTAGTCAGTCATTTCTTCCCAATCCTAAATTTCTTCAATTCAAATCTACTCTCCTTTCTTTATCCAAAACTCTGAAAAACAGATTTTAGTGAAAGCTAATTGAACATATTTTCTTAAAAATACAGAAAAGAACATTCTAGTAGCGAGTAAAATAGATCCAGTTAAAGTAGAAGTGCTCATCCACTCGAACTTCCCTCTTAGAGGCCCTGAGTGAGGTCTTAAAATTCCAACAAGCTGGATCAGCTGCTTCATCTCTGAGCACAGACAGCACTATATTAAGCAAGTTGCCTATCCCATCAGAGCATCAGATGGGATTCTATATATCTTTATGCAGAACCATCATTCTGTGGCTCTGCACAACTGTCAGTTGATCTTTCTAGGCACCTGTATGTTTGAATAAAAACACTAAAGCACCTTTTGAAATATTTTTATGAGCTGTGAACCCAGGTCTAAGTCACAGGGCTCTTTGCATTGGTAATGTCAACTGCGGAGTGAAGCAGGGGGAAAAAGTGGGAGAAGAGAAGGGCATACTATTTTATTCACCTCATTAGGCTTCAAAAATTGACTTTAAAACAACTCTTTATAATCCCTAAAGACCATACTGAAAGTCTACTGCAAGGATTCAATAAGAATGTTACAGGCTTTTTTGTGAAGAGTTACTAATAACCCTCCCTCTCGACGATGGATATCAAAATTACTGCGCAAGGCCACGGCCCATGCAATGCCAGATAGCTTGAATATTTCTAAAAAGGGGCTTCAACCATAGCACATCGTTGCTGAGATGGATGCAGTCTTTGCAGGAAATGCAGAGCTTTGTTGAGTCACAGAAAGGCATTTGCTTTGTCACTTAAATAAATGGCTTTCTGCTTCCCAGAGTTCTCACTGGTATTCCAGAGCCCTGCCAAAAATAAAGCAGGAGCTGCAGTGGCCTCTTCTTGCCTTTTTTTTTTTTTTTTTTTTTTTTTTTAATTTGCGGAGTATTTACCATAATAAGCAGTAGGAGGAGAGTACCCGAATCAAATTAATCAACTTTTGCTTTGCTTTATTAGGAACAGAACTAAGGCTTCAGAAATACTCTCTCTGCAACTTTGGTGACCCGAGCTTTTGCAGTGTCAGGGAAAAAAATAAATAATAAAAAAGGAGAAAAGCCCACGCAACACCGAAATAGCAAACAAGCGCCCAGCATGCAAACCCCACGCTACCCCCGGAGCAGCTGCGGACTGCTGGAGGGGGCGGCGGGCGCTGCCGGCGCTCGGGCAGCGGCGGGAACAGCGCCCGGCGGGACCCGCGGAGCGCGGCGGGACGCGGGCGGCACTGGCCCGGCCGGGCGGGCAGCGGGGCCGGGCGGGCAGCGGGGCCGGGCGGGCAGCGGGGCCGGCGGCGCTTACCTGGTGCGCTGCAGTGCTGGGGCCGCCGCCGCCGCTCCCGGGCCGCGCCCGCCGCGCCGCCGCCTTTATGGGGCCGGGCCGCGGCCCGCGGCCAAGGGGCGGTCCCGGCGGGCCGGGCCGGGGGGCCGCTCCCGCCGGGGCTGCCGCGTGCCCGGGGGCTGCCGGCCGGACACAGCCCCGGTGGCCCCGCCCGGAGCTGCCCGCGGTCCCTCGTGCTCCGGGAAGGGCGGCAGCAGCTGCGGCCCCGGGGTCCGACGAGGACTCGCTCGGGCACGCGGCCGTGCCGGCAGCCAGCCAGCCAGCGGGATTCTCTGTGAGGGCTTCTCGCGTGCCCGTGTGCGGCTGCTTCGGGAACCTCCCCAGCTGAAGAAAACCTGTGCTAAATTATAGACTTCTCTGCTTCGTTGGAAAGAAGCCGGACACTAAGATGTAAGATAATGTTCCCAGGGCCAGAAATCCATCCTCCTGGAATCTAACCGCCTTTGTCCTCAGTGAAAAAGTACTTTTGTACTTTTAATGTAAATGGTGCAGACAGCTTTTCACCTCGCACACCTGGTGATCTGTGCACTGCCTGAGGATGACAGGCCGTGCTATAGGCCCCACATTTTATCTACTGCCTTTTTCCAGAGGAAAGAGACAGAAAGTGGTGGAAGGCAGCCCCCGCAGCATTAGCCACAGCAATACTGTGGCGCTCCGGTGTCCGCCTCCCAGAGGCCCTGTGACAGACAGGCCCTTGCAGGGGCTGTGGACAGCCCACAGGTGACAGCATGGTGTCTTCTGCAGGCTGAGTAATCCTACTAGAGAAAGTTCATCGCTGAGTTACTGCTCTTCAAAGACCATGTCCTGGATGCTAACATTTTCTCTGGGTCTTCTGCAGATCAACAGTTCACTGGCATCTTCTTCCTGCTCAGCTGCTCTTTCCCAAGGGTGGCAGATAGCTTGCAGTCAATGTAACAAGATGTGATAGAGAGTCTATGAACTGTGATTTTCTGAGTTCACAGCTTTTACCAGTAAATGAGACAACATACAAATGAATGGCAGGAAGTCCTATGTTCTACATGAAGCAAAGGGGGCTTACAGTGATGAGCAAACAGTAAAGGATTTTTCTGTTCTTGATCTGTGAGCAAAAGAAATTAAAAGCTCTACTGCTTATGCGTGAGAATTTATTAGAAGATAGGGTGTGAGCATACCAGATGATGACAAGGACACTTTCACCTTGTATTCAAGCTACATACAAGCAGAGGGCACAAACAGAAAAGGTTAGAGGCTTCTGATGACAGATGCATGGCACATAGATCAGTATCTGCCTCTGTACGTGTAATGAGAGTATTCACCAGCCAGTAACACTGCAGTTTCTTAGTTCTGCCCCTTGGTGACTGAACTTCCTGCCTTTTGTGACAGTACATGATAATAAGTGTCATCTAGACAAAGCCTGAAGCATTAACTGGCAATGCAGAGAAGGCTTTGGAAGGTCCTGCTCTGTTCCCTGGAGCCAGTTACTCAGGACAGCCTTCCCTGGTCCTCCACTTCTCAAGCTGTATCCCTGCTACTGACATTGCTCTTCCTTTCTTTTCCCTTCTTTTATCTTTTGGTGACTGCTGGCTCCCTATCGAAGGCAGATGATATTTTCTCATTCTTTGTCTACAGAAAGTGATAGAAAATAGCATCTGTGTTTTGGAAGCCTTGCTAATAGCCTTATTAGTTGCAAGTTTATTTTTCTTTGGAGGAGCTACAAAGACTTTCAGCCCCAACCCCCCACCTGGAGTAAACTAGGTCAAACATACCCATGGGTATAAGGAAAGACTGGACACATGGCTGGCACTTACCAAATCTCTTCTATTTACTCATAAAAAAATCAGTAAATAACTCTGGAGTTTGTTTGCCTGTACTACTTGGATCCCTGTCCATGGATCTTCCCACACACACTGCTTAGCTGGGTTGCTGTGCTAGCAGAGATCACGTGCAGCAGAGCAGGGGCTGCTCTATCACACTATCTGCAGACACTAAATAAGAGCTGCTTGAAGCCTGTAAAAAAGGAGTTGCCTCAAGGCTTTCCTGCACATATTTCTGTTGCTATGTAGTAGCTCATTGCACTGTTGGTGCTATAAAATATTTTGCTTCTGCTGTGTAAAATACCTGTTTTGCCTAACTTGGAAAACATCTTGAAAGACTGTTTCAAGTGATATGATTAGAAAAAAAAATGGTAGTGAGATCCAGAGCCTTTCACAGGCACATCATTGCCCAAGTCAATAAATACAGACTGGATACAGTAACTTTGTGCCTAACTGGTAATCTGGAGCACATTCATGGCCGTGGTCTGGTGTCCCAGTTCCTGGTTGCCAATACAAGCAGAAAGTGTTGTGCAGAGCAAGGGTAGCTCTTTCCTCATCCAGGGAGGCACCCCTGCATTGAGGCAAACTGACAGGGTTATGTGAGTTAACACACCAGTCTGTCCTGTCAGTGATGGTTCCCTAGCTGTGCTTTTTATAGAGGACTCAGGTTTCCAGATACTTTGGTTTGGCATCTTAAAATGTAGATCTTTCTGTCTGTCTTACCTTTCAAATAGTGCTGCTAAAATAGGACCATCAGAGGAAAAAAAACCTCCTGTCTTACTGGGCATTTGACAGCAATTTGTGGCATATCAGCTTTTCTGACATTGGTAGGTGCACAGTGGCAGAAATATGTAAGTGGAAAAAGCACGGCTGATTATAAAATGAAGCCCCATCATAGGCTGTTGTACTTCCAACTGCTTCTGTAAGAAGGAAACCCAAGTCGATCACCCAGACTAGTTCTCTGTCTTTTCCTGAAAAAGTGGCACATTAGACCTAGTAAGTTAATTGCAACATGTTAGCTATAGAAAACACAGTTTTATTATAGCTACCATAGTTTCACTAAACCTTAAATGTACGTTTTTAAAGCAGTTTGGAGCCTAGATGGTCCAGATGCAGTGGAAGGCACAGGCTCGCTTGCAAGGAGTTCATTGAGGTTGCTCAGTGACAAACTGGCAACTGGACTCACGCTGCTCTGTTCAAAGACAAATATATGGTATTAGCTCCACAGCAAATGCTTTTATATGCAGATGGTCCTCCAGATCTTGCCATTCTTCACCTCAGCTGAACTAACCACAACCTTTCAATCAGCAGTTCTGGGAACAGATAATGAGTGATTGTGCCTTCCTGTCAGCTATCACACCGCAATGGGCTGCTCTGGTCATCTCTTTGCTGGCTCTTATCATTTTATGATAATGAAAGAGCTGCTTTTTTTCAGCCTCTGTTCTGGGACCGAGTAATTAAGCAAGGATTTTGTGTTTACTCTGACTATATTACTTTCAGGTCGCTGTGCTTCTTTGCTATCCTCCCCCACAACTTCAGGAAGGAAGAAAGGAAAAACATCACAGTGGAGGATATAGAAAGAGTAGAGGAGCTATTATCATTTAATTAAAGGCTTTTGAAGCTTTTGAAGGTAGGCAAATATTTCCTCAGAGCAAAGTAAAGTCATGACCACATTTATAGGTAAAAAAGTCCAGAGAGAAGAACTTATGTCCATTTCACTTGCATAGTAATGCATCTCTTGAGAAATCCTTGCTGTTTGCTGGGTGGGAGAGCAATGCAGTTACAGTATGCAATTGAGCAGGAAAGCCTTTGATATGGTTTTGGGCTTGAAACTAAAATCAATTGCTAGGCCAGCAGCACTATACTGGTGTCATTAGAAAACAAAATATGTCCACCTTATTTTGGCTAGCACGTTCCTGCAGCATCACACAACACCTGTGAAAAAGACAGAGCTTTAATGACTTTAAAGGACATCTGTGGTAATAGACAGGGTCAATTCTGTAACACAAGGTAAACAGCAGCCATTATTTTTTCCTTGTCTTGAGCTCTTCTGTTCAATGTTTGTTCTCTGCTACTAAAACTAATCTTTGTAAATGTGTATTATCTATGAAGTTGGGCTGCAGTTTTCTATGAATGTGACTGTAAGGGAAATAGTGATTTTTCAGATACATAGCAAGTCTGTAAGCATTGAAAATTTATAATTACTTTTAATGGTTTATCTAATGAAAAACTCTGTAAGCAGATTTTTATTAAGTCCTAATAGAAGGCTATATTATTTACTTGCTTCTCATAGCCCTTTGGTGAACTTTGAAAATTACTAATGGTTGCAAATTTATACAAGGAAACTAGTCCTGGGAAATTCTGTTATTGCTTTAGGAATTTCTTCAGCACTGATACAGTCCATATGAGGCAGAAATAATTTTTGGATATTTTTAGAATTTTTATTAGCCCATTCTCATGGTTGGTAGGGGGGTGGTTTCAACCAGATCCAACATGCTACAGCTGTTAGGAAGCCCTCACTGAAATACCTGTAAATTGTAATCACTTGTTAATAGGCAAATCAGAAAAAGTCTGGGAAAAAATATTTCACTGGCCTCACTGCAGTACTGCCATAACCACCCCCTAGAGAGCAGGACAAGCAACATGCAGCCAAATACACATGCAAAGATGGATGGGGTTTATATTTTCTTACAGCAACAGGACATGGGTCTAATTCTTTGGGCATTCATAGGGGTTCTAGGTCTCATTCTATTTCAGTCACTAGTGCAAGTTCTTGCCACTCTTGGAACCTTTTACGGTTAAATTCAAAGACATTTAAATTCCTTAAAACTGAAAGCTTTGGACTGAATTAGAAACTATAAATTGATTTAAAATGTCTAATCTAGTTAAGGCTGATTAATGATAAATTAGTCAATTTCAGATGAGTCATCACTTTGAAAATGTATAGTGGCAGAGAAGTGTGTTGCTTTCTGAAAAAAGTGACATAAAAAAAGCAAGAAAACATATCTCAGACTGCCCAAATATTTAATGTCATGTGATTATATTAAATTCAGGATATTTTGAGCGAAATTCCTTAAACTGATTTAATGAATGCAGTCTTTCAGAAGTCTTTGCTAGTATGTAGTAAGATGAATTAAAGACAATGCCACATTATTTATAGATTGCTGTGATGTAGAGTGAAAAATGAAAGAAAACCGAAAGAAGCAAGAGCATAAATGTAGGTATTCATTCTTGGAATAACCTGAGCTTTCCATGAAGTGTTTTACAAGAGTGCAGAAAACAAAACACATACATATATTTTATACATTAATATAAATCTGACTTATAAATACAGACCAGATTAACTTTTGAGAATACAAAGGCTTTCCTAAATGTCTGAAATTAACGCAGTATTTCAACAGTCCAAGATTATTTTTCTCCATTTTTGTGGGTTTTATTTTTAACCACATACCTGAGATGACTGAACCTCGATAATCTGTGGCCAAATATTTAATAAATATAAATCATGTTGCTGTGTATAGATAATCAGTGTTTATTCTCTCTTTTTTTCCTCTAGGCCCAGGTGAAGGAATTACCTCTGCTGATGAATAGTCTTTTCCAAAGAAAATAGTAAGTGAAATGCTGCTTTGTGCAATTTGGTTTATGCTTAATGTTGTGTGAAGCAAATGTTTGTTCAGCAGACACTTCCATCAGCTATGTGGGCAGTATTCTTGTTCTTTGCAAGCTCTCAAGGAAAAATTGTGGTATTTTTATGCACATATGCACAATTCCCTACAGATTTGCAAGAGCCACGTGATTATTCAATATGATTACCATTCCCATAAAATTTATGTTGAATAAAACCTTCATCCTGAATAAGCATTGCTATATCTGACAGCAGCCCAACTAATTGCTGCAAGATGTTCACACAGAGTGTTTAGAAACCCTTGAAGGGCCTGAGTAACATTCCTTTTCTTGTTCTGCAAACCAAAAGACATGATCCATTTCTCTATTTTAGGTTCTCTTACAAGGTCCTTTTTGTCTTGTGTATCACAAGGAAGAATGGGGCTTGGAAATCAGTACAGTGAAATTCTGTGCTGAGTTTTTATTGGATTTTCTGCGCACAGAACAAACTCCCCTATGGCATATGTCTAAGAGATGAATGAATGAATCTTTTCTCTTTCAGATTTAGTTTAATTTCTAACCACTCAGACAAAAAATTTGAGTTTACCAGGATCTGACCTAGTTATGCCTCTTTGGGTGCAGCATACATATGTATATGAATGTATATTTCCTCAGTTTCATGGGGGTCAAATTTCAGGCAGACATTAACTTCATTTTTAGATTTGCTGGAAAGAATGAAGCTCTTCAATCCAAGTGCTGTAACATCATCAGTCCTCTTTCATCCTGCAGTGGAAGGAGAACTAGTTATGGTCCTGAGTGTAGAAAGATTTGTGGCCTAAATAATATATTTGCAATAAATTGGTTTCTTTGGGTTATTCTTAGATGCTACTTCTCAGAACACAGATGGTTTACTGTCAAAATGTGCTGCTCCATATAAGCAATAATGCTTACAGTAAGTTTTGCAAGACTTAAAATGGTTTTAATCAGTGAGAATAATCTTGCATGCTTCTCTGGAGAATTGCAGTCACAGAATAGTGGAGGTTGCAAGAGGCCTTTTGAGGTCACATAATCCAGTCTCCTCCTCAAAGCAGGAATAGCTTCAAAGTTAGATCTGGCTGCTCAGGTTGCTCGTCCAACTGAGCTTTTAACAACTTCAAGGACGTAGCCTCTCTAGACAACCTGGGCCTAACAACTCTATTCATTTTTTCTATTTATCTGTCTGGAATTCCTTTTCTGTGACACGTGACCACTGCCTCTTTTCCTTTTGCTGGACTTCTCAAGGGAAAATCTGGCTCCATCTTATTTTGATTTCCTCTTAGTACTGGGAGGCTGCAGTCTGACCCACTCTAACTTAGCTTTTCTTTTGCAAGTTAAGCAAAGTCAGCTCCCTCAGTCTCACCTTCTGTAGCCCATTCCAGGCCACTAACCATGCTGGTGATCTTCCACTGCTCTTAATGCAAACCTAATGTTCAAATGCAAACTTAACCCCCACACATCCTTCCTGACTAGCTCTTTTTATCCACTTTGGCACTGGGATGGACTTAGGGCATGAGCTGTGTTTTGCTCAATGAACTAACTTCATCTACCCTTCACACTGCTGCAAAGGCATGGATCTCCCCTTGGTGACACTGACATGCATTTCCTAGTCATGATGTACACTTTAAGGGTATGAGGAGTTGAGGGCTTTCATCTGAAATCACTGAGAGTGTTGGGTGGGGGGGGGAAGCGGTGCAAAAGGAATTCTGCTTTTATTCCCAGACTAGGTGAAAGCAAAAAGCTTCTCTTAACCCAGAGGTAGTTAGAATTTTTTCTTTTTAATGAAGTTCTGATGTTTAAAGGAATAAATATCCAACAGAGTGCTTCTTGGAAACATAACATTTAAAAAACAAAACTCAACAAAGCCAACCTTTCTCTTTGCCTTCAGCAAAGATTTCTATCAAGGATCTCTTCACGGAGAATGAGATGGGACGCAAAATAACACATGGCATTGGTGGCATGGCATTCATGTCCTTCTCCTAGGTTAGGGAAAATCCATCCTGGAGTACTTGATCCTTTTTTATACACCCATATATTTCTCTGCAGTATATTTATGCGTGCAAAGATGCATAGCTCTAACAGGAGAGGTTCAGAGATGGAGTCCAGCCACAGCATTTTCAGCCTATTCATAGGACAGGAGCTGGCTGTCACCAAGCCAAGGCCTGGCCATATCAACTGGCTATTATGGGAGAGGAAGTTGTGGTTCTGTCGTTTGGGAGCAAGTGGGGGAATGGAGGGAAGTAAAATATTTACACAATAAATCCTTTCCCATCCCATTTAAATTATTAACTTTTTTAATTTCCCTGTTCCCCAAGAGAAAGAGAAGTTGCTCCCTTGGTAGCTTTTTTCCTCAGGACAGTAATAAAGATGGTGTGCATTAAAGAAAATAAACTCTAGTTCTGTATAAAACAGGTAGCACAGAAATTATGCATTGATTTTATTACTGCTGTCATATATTACACATTTGGCTTCTCCAGATAATAGCCATATTCATAATTTATACAGTCTGTGTTTGAATATCCCATGAAGAAGGTATTTAAGGAGAAACTTCTCTGCTAGTCAAAGCACAACAATGTTGAAAGCAGGATGGGGTGTTGGTCAATGGAATGTCTCTGTTTTAGAAATTACACCCTATTATCAGGGCTGCTAGTTTCAAAATCAGGTTATGTGTGCCCTGCAGGTATAATACCAGAAAATAAAATAGTATACCTGGCCCTTTTATGTAACACTACGTAAGTACAGATAGAGGAAGAGAAGTGATGATTCATTATCTGTTCATCCAAAAACTATGAATGCTGATTCATACTACATCCTAAAGTTTCACAAGTCTAAACATATTCTTGGCTATTGTCAAATCATCTTTCTAGATGCTGTGCAAATGAGATGGGCTATGCTTTCCATCACTGATCTTGTTCTAAATCAAAAGGTTTAGATCAGCCTTAAAGTCAGCAGCATTTAACATCTCTTCTAGTGTATCCTACTTCCTTGTTATAAGTTTTGCAAGTGATATAGTACTTGTTTTATCCTCTATGTTTTCAAACATGAAGCTTTAAAAATACATAACATAGTTGATAGCCTACTATGGCTTTTTATTCCAGTCTTATGCTTGTTCCCTGTTTTTTATAATAGCCATATACAAAAATAAAGGCAAATTAATCTTTCTTGCAGGAAAATCCTTCTGTCCAAGACAGGGAGCTTTCTGAACTCTGACATTTATGGTTTTCACTTTAACATCAGTTTGCAAAACATTCTTTCTACCATTTTTATCAAAAGAAGACATTCATCTCTATTTTGTTTAAACTGTATAAACTATTAGAGTTGGATGCAAAGTTGATAAAAAACAGCTGTTCCTAATACAACTGCATGAGACCTACTCCAGCGTAAGCACGTCAGACTGGTGGGAAGTATGAATAACATCCCACACATATATATAGGAGGTCCCTGTCCTGATTCTCTGGCTGATATTTCTAATGATACCTTCTCAGCGAAGTCAACAGAGATAGTCTCTTGCTTTCATGGGTCTTTGAGGTCCTCTGTTCTCAGAATCATTTCCTTTCTTTATCCATATGAATTTGAAAGAATAATTATACTCCTGAAGATCTTTCCCTGAACAATGTACCACATGCAGTGTGTAAACCTTACAATGCAACTAATAACAAGGGTGGGAACCCCCACTTGAAACTCCTACCAGGCTTTTCTTGATAGGGCAAGATGATGCTTAGAAACACATTCAGTGGGATGTATTCCGAGTTTAGGGACAATTATACTTATCACTGTGCATCATCCCCACAGCCACAGTAGTTTGCAGAAATTTAACAGAGCATGGGGTTCCTTTGAATCCATGGGTTTCTGTACTTCAGTACCAGTATACTATAAACATATCAAATGGCAAAAACCAACTCGAATCTGTCATAATGCTGAAAAGAAATGCCATAAAAATCTTACAGTTTGATGAAATGTTGCCTAACATTTATTTCATCTGTCTATATTGTCTGTTTATGGAAGAAGGAGTGGTTACACAGACCAGATGAGCAAACCTTCTTTCCCTGCAGATTCATACTGGTGTAAGTTTAACGGTGGAATGACGATGTTTCCATGCCTTATCAAAAGAGTTAGATAGTTGAAGATCTGAATTAGAGCAAGACTTTATAGCAGGAAGGAAACATGACTTACAGATAAACCAGACACTCCAACTACCTGTAGCCAAAGTACTGCAGAACTTTTTGAGGTGCTTCTACACAGTATTTTAACTACTACCAAAATGTATTGTAACTCCATTGTTGATATATATTATCAAATCTAAATCTGGTGTTCTTCCTTTCTAAGGCTTTTGAGTAGATGAGTTCATTTACGCACTGAGACTTCACTCCTGCAGATAATTGACTACTCAACCACCTTAAATTTGCCTTTGGTAGCCAGGCTTAGAGGGCTGATGATAGGATGGCTGATGCAAAAAGCATATGCATGGATTTAGAGTGGGTGAGAGAGATATAAGCATACATCCTGAGAAAATGCTTAGTTTGCTTGCTCTTTTTTGATCTGAAAAATGGGGCACTGATTTTCTGCCAGGGGACACTTTTGAATAGGAATGTCTGGAATTGCCTACTAAATTTGGTTTAATTTGGAGTAGGTGGCAGAGAGCAGGAGGAAATCATGATGGAAAAATATGGATGTCAGCCTAGGAAAACATTGGGCTAGAGGCTGTGTATCTAGAGGCTTTATTCTGTCTCTGAGCAGATGCTATGACAGGCTATGACAGGGGCCTATTTTTATGGGGTCATACATTTTCTTCAAAGCGGACCCAGAAGGAGCACTGCCAGTTCATGTTGGTCCTTTTTTCCCATCACAAATGTCAAAATTTAAATGTAAAATGTGCCAAAAAAGGTCCAAGCAAAAATAATTTAGATACATTGTCTTAATAGGAAGGGCAATTTTAAGTCTTCATAAATTCTGTATTTTCACTGCAGGTAAGTGTTTTGTAGGCACATTTGGGTTTATCTGAACATCATTACTCTGATAGAAATTCAGTCTTGGGTGTTATTTTAAAAAAAATCTTTTAGTGTCTTTGAGCAGTGCTAAGCACAAGGCCTCTAATTCAGATGAGATGCTGGCCACTGCCCTCCCTTTGCTCTGTTTCCTTCACCTTGTGCCTCAAGTGATGCAGCACAAAATTTAGGAAAAGATGACAGCTAAAATGACACGTGACATTTTAAGAAGCACGTTTTCCTGACATCCCATTTCTCCTCCTACTTATTTTTTTCTTGTCCCTGCAGTTAGAGGAGCTGTGCTAGTCACGAGTGTCTAACAGTTCAGTGTGCCAGTCTTGGGGCTCACATATCTGCAAAACAAACTTTCCACAGTGGAAAACTCATGCCTGCACTGGGGCAAAGCAGGTTACTGGAGGCAATGTAACAGGGACTCAGTGTATCATTCTTGCCCAGAGGACACAAGGGAAAGGGATTAGATTCATCCTTGCCTCCTCCCACTTGTAGTTAACAGTCAAGATTTTTTCCAGTGAGTCTTTCTAAGAAACGTAGGGTCATATCAGGTGTTTGCTGAAGACAGAGCAGAACTTGAGATGAACTCCTTTGTCCTGAAAAATGACTAAGAGCAGCCCTGTTTTCAGTTGCAGCTGAGGCAGCTTCTAAGGTGCACAGCCTGTGAGCTCCAAAGCGGAGCCTCACAGAATCAGTGAATTAGTCTTACCATATGCTAACACACCAGGTGCAAAAACAAGGTTAGCATGTCAGTGGGTCTGCTGCAAACACGTGCCAATTTGGTAGCACAAATGCACAACTATACCATGTATTTTAAAGGAAAGGTTCTACTCCCTATTCAGAAGCAATTTAAAAATAGGAGAGTGTTAGTTTCACACAGATAAACTTGGAGGACTGACATAAGATAATAAAAGGTACATAGCAAAGGAAAAGAACATTCAAGTAAATCCCTGCAGGTCACTGAAGCCCTGCTTCGAATTTCTTCTGAATTTAGCCTGGAGTGTCCATGCCCATGTCAAGTTGTTTTTGTGTGCAGCACAACAGAACTGTCCAAGCTATGCTTCAAACAGGAAACCAAATCCCACTACCTCTTTCATATTTTTCTTTCTTAATCACCCGATAACTTAAAACCTCCCAATACCTGACAGAAAATTTTCTAGTTAAGAAGCTGTTTAGAGATCCCTGAATTGAAAGACAGAATGTGGAGTGAACGCAAATCAAGGTACCAAGGAACTATGGAAGATCTTCTCAGTGACTAGTCCCTGGAAAGGTTGTTACTGTTTGGGGCTTTTTTTTGTAAGCATAACTTTTTCTCACAAGAGAAGGAATATAATTTTTCCTATTACATAGACACAAAGTGCAAATAATTGTCAGTCGCTGGTGAAAATATTTCCCCCTCACCTCCCAAAATTAAAAAAATTCTTAGACTTTTTTTATGCGGAGTCTTTTTCTTGTTTGGGATTCTTGGTTAACATTTATGTAAATAGTTCAATTTAGTAATTGTAAGTGCTGTGGTGTTTTGCAAAACAACAGGGTACAAAATATCCTGTGTGCACCATTACAATTTAATTTGTTAGTCATATTTCTAATGCAGTTTTTTAGCATAACAGAAGTCCCATTTTGGCCTAAAAAATCAAGGTCTTTTATTGATTTTAAATTTTTGGTTTGAAACTTTTTGACACATAATTCATATTATTATGTTTATGGTGATATTATCACATTATTGTGTTTATAGTGATTTCTCTTCATTCAACTTCTTTTTCCCTAAACAATGGACAGAAGGCAGGGTTTCCAAATGGCACCATGTTGTAAGATTTATAAAGGGTGCTTGGCGTCAGAATTAAAAAGACTATCAGACTTTGCCATTACTCCCAGTAACCACATACCCAGCTGCTTTGCACAATTCCTCTGGATATAGACACAGAGGGGCTATATTAAGCCTTGTCACAGTTTGAATTTGAAACCTCTGTCCAAAGAGTATAATGTCACCTAAGCTTTCACATTTGTGCTGGGAACAGCTAGAGCAGAAGCAGGGGTTTAAACTAGGACACTGGCAGTTTGCCTGAAGAAAAACCAAACTGCCAATAAATCTTCTGTGTAAAGTATTTGGACAAAGTGTAACTTAGAAATTAAAAAGAATCAGTAACTAGGCAATTTCAAAATACAAACACACAGTCTTGGATTCCTTGTTTCTTTGTCAAGAAAAAGTATATTTCCAAAGCAAGTCTGTAACTAAAGGTTAAATCTGATTCCTCTAGCTGCTTTCCTAAAGGAGGAGCTTCAGTGCTGTGCCAAGATGACTTCTGTCCATACATACAGATCTGAGTCTTGAGTAACTCTGTGAGCTTGGCCTATGTGGGAGCATAGCTTGAATTTCATCCTTTCTGATCAGACTAGTAATAATAGCAAGGCTCTTACTACTCCATTCTGCCAACAGAACTATTTAGGTGGTTTTAGTGTCACTTTGCAGAACATCTGCTTTTACTTCACTCCTTTTTCATTCTGGAATTAACTCTTACCACATCTACAGTTAACTCTTCTACCATCCCAACTGGGCAATTACCTCAATAAAAAATACAAGATAGCTGTAGAAATGCTGTTTTGCAAGAAGTGCAAAGTTGTGCACACTTCACATAACAGTGTTGAACTCCCTGCCCATCCTCCGTCCATCCTCCTGTCTCACCAGTTCCTTGCAGCCTGCAGCCTTAGTGGCCCTGTGCAGTGTAAGGCACCAGCTCACACCATATCTTAACCCAAGCTTCCAAGTCAGCATCTGCTGGACAAGGATGTTGCTTTAGAGAGTGGTCTCAGGGTGGCCATTAATGCATAATTTAGATTTGACCATATGGTTTCCCATAGCTTTTTTGAACAATGTACGGTAGTATGAATACTTGTTTAATTTCTTACTATACTGAAGCATGATGTTCTGATTTCTGCTTCTTCTCTTTGGGGATTTATTAAATATTCCTTTTTAGAATGTTATGAGCTCAGCATCAATGTACATTATAAATCTGTCCAGAAATAAATAACACAGTGCTGAGGAATGTTAGCTAAGGGAATCTATAGTAGATTTATTTCTTTTTCTCACACTCTTCTGCCAGTGCAGAGGCAAAGCCTTCAGATTCTTCTCCTATCCTAAAGGGACTGGCAGTTGACCAGCTTAATTAGCAAAGCTCGCTATGTAAGTCAACATGACTACTCCAAATATTCCAACACTTTGCTAGACAGTACTAGGCCATGTGGGGAAAAAAGTAACTAATTCAGCTTTTAGCCAAGGTGGGCTACACCTACATGACTCTTTGAGATGTCTGCTAAAAGCAGACCAGTTCTCCCCCAGAAGATGGTGTTACTGTGCTGTTAGATGCAAAAGACAGTTTCTACTTCACACTCTCTATAGGTAAATCCAACTTCCCTGAACTTTCCTCTCCATGTTACCTGAGTAGGTGCCAAGTGAAAATTGCTCAGAAAAGTACAATTTTATTTTATTCCAAGATTGTTCTGCTAAAAGCTCTTTTGGCTAAATTGGAGGATTCCTACTACCTCCTGATTATTCCTTAATGTGACTTCTCTGTCTTGGATAAAATGAACACAGGCATGTATCAGTCGTTGTGGTAAATCGGCACGAGGCCTCTCAGATCTTTGCTACAGCACAGACTGCTTTTGGATCTCTCAATGTAGCTATAAAAAGGGAAATGGATAAATTATCAAATACTGTTAGTGTAATGTGCCTGAATGGAGAAGAAAACCCTTGAGCCATTTGTGCATGCACTCTTATCAGTTCTACAGTGCTCTGCACCCTTCTGAATGCACAGCTGACTTTGCTGGTTGTGTCAAACTGTCTCAAATGATCATTTGGTTGCCTACCATTAAAGTTCCTAATAACTAGCATGCATTCCATATATTTTTTTTCCAGGAATACTATTTCTCTTGGATCAAATACAAATTAGGCCAACTTGTATACAGTGTTTATCTGTCGCAAATGACTTCTGTTTACAAGCTAAGAGGGCCACAAGAACATCTGGCTCCTATCATCTAGAGTGCAAGGGCTATTCTGGTCCACACTGAATAGTTTCAGTGCAAGGACAGTAATGAGGAAGACAGCAGTAACTCTGCTCCATGAGCTGTCCGGACAGCAGAGAAAGGATCATCAGTGAAATTATTTCTGAAGAAAACCAGTTAGTAACCTAATGTCAAAAATGCTATTTCACTGTTAGATCTTGATTTGTGTGCACACATATTGTGTGCAGAGATAGCATTTCAAATGTCTTTAAAGTTTTAAGATCTTCATCAGGCCCACTTCTCCACACCAGTCTAACCTTCCATTCAGCTGTTCTGTTTCCAGTTTGAAGTTGTTCAAGTCATGAGGCAGATCTGGAAGTAAAATAGGTTCCCACTGGACATTTTCTGGGGAAGTGAGGTAGGAGATTCAGTTTGGTATTTCTCATCTTGAAGACCAAAGGGCCTGGCCAGATGAGGCAAAGAATTGAAAAGTAAAGAGAGAAGGATGACCATTCATGCTCCTGGAACCATTCCAGAGAAATAGAACCTAAGATATATTTAGTAACCTTGCTGTTGAAATAAAATCTTGTGTAACTCCACCTTAGCAGCAATATTTAGCATTTATGTAATCATATAAAGTAAAAAATTACCTACTTTTTAATTATAAAGAAATGTATTCAGTAACCTCTAAAATATAAAAAGGAAAACTTTTTATTTCCCAGATAGCTAAAATCTTCATTACACAGCATTATCCTTTACACTAAAAAGTATTGCCATTTAAAGAGGAATTTATCAGGTATTAGGCATTGGTTGTACTGGCCAAATACCACATATCGAGCTAAATAATCACATTCCCAGGTGAAATTTAGCACCTTTTACTATTTTTAGGCAGTCAGAATACATCACTGTGTACCCATGCTTTGAGAGTCACCATCAGGCCACATTTCAACAATCAAAGCATGTTTGATAAAAGAAGAAAATCAGTAATTTTCTAGACTTAGTGGCAAAATTATCTTTCATGGATAAATAAAGATATTAATTATTGCTATAAGGCTTCATATAAACTATATAGAAGAAATCACAGTTGTTTATAATACTTAGAGAATTTAAAAAGATCACAGAAATAATCCTAGAATAAACTGCCTGAATAAAGTGTTTAAAATTTTCTCTCTCTTGCTAAAAATGAAAAAAAATCCAGAAAAAGGCTGTGTATACACATAAATGAATGGTATGTTTGAACATGTTTCCTGCTTTCTGTTATTCAGTTAAAAATCTGCATAAATATATTCTTCACAGTAAGTCTTAGGATTTTAATGTTTTAATGTCTGACTTCAATATCACTGTAATGGCATTCCCTCTTCTCATCACAATTCCTCTTCTGAATCACTGCCATGGACTACTTTTCAGCAGGAGCCTTCCATTAGAAATACTGCAATTCACTGGATTTGACAACTTCATGGTGAAACTATAAAAACTTCTTAAACTAAGTAACTTTTTCTTAGGCTGAAGTCAAGAATAACCTGTTCATTTTCCTATTTTTTACCCTGGACTGTGGAACTAGCTGTTCCAAGAAGCCATCACTTGAATTGTTGGGAAATTGCCTCTCAAAGATCTGGCCTGAAATAACAACTTGACAATCTATGTGCAACTATTTGGAGTGGTACACTACTACTTCCTTAAAAAACACTACATTTAGTTTCTTTGCTTTCCTTCACACTGCCTGCTCTGGATGGTATTTACATACTATGGGCAACCAATTTAGTATCCAAATTAAAAGTACAGGCTTTTTATGCCATCAGTGGAAAGGGGCACAGTGCTTCAGAAGGCAATTAAGAGTAAAACACTGAGAAACCTGCCTGCTTTGGCAATTTCTTGGAGGACCTGGACACTTCTGTTAAAGGCCCAGGACAGATTGTGAAGATGTCTGAACCTCCACAGAGCCTTTTTTATTTTTTAGCTTTTAATTGGGACAGAAAACAAACACCAATTTTTGTTAATAAAATGTCACTTGAATTGCAATTTAAATGCATGGAGAGTCTCTCGCTACTTGTTGGTTGCTCATTCTAAATATTCTCCCTTAGGATGATTTTTTCAAGAGAATTGCTCTTTCCCTATTACTATCTCAGTCAGTTCTACACAGATTTTAACCTAATTAGCCCACACTTTTTTTTTCTTTTGATTGGCTTCAGAAAAATTAATTTCATGGCTGGACAGATATTCTGGTTTGCCTTCATTTGCTTTTAGCATTTTCATATTCTTATACCTATTTGAGGTACAGATGAATCTGTTTTGCTGGCCTCCCCAGCCAATGCTGATCTTTGGCCCAACTGCTCCTCTGCTGTTTGTGGTTTCTTCCCAATAAAAAGTAACAACTTCCCAGGCCTCTGCCGTGTTCTCCTGCTGGCCTCCTGTGTAATTCTGCTTTGTATGCAAGTAGCCTACACTTTTAGAAAAGCTCTCTGTCATCCCAGAATATTCCAGGCACTACAGAAAAACAAACAAGAGCTCCGTTTAAGCCCTCTGGACATGTTTCTGTCTAGCAATTTTTGACAGACAGCTGGAACAATTTTTAACAAGTCACAGGCATCCTGGACCAAAGGCTTTTCTTTTCTGTGCAATCTAGTTTCCATGAACTCTTATACACTTATCTGTGCTGCTGATGTCCAGAATGCAAGCTTCTCCCTAACACTTAAATGAATCTTCTCTAACTTCTGCCCCTGCAGCTGGTCATGAAGCTGCTGAACAATTATCTTGGTTGCTGCATAAACAGGGACAGGATTTTGATAACTAAATGGCCTACCATTGCAGCTTGTGAACAGCTGACAGGTTATCCCAATCTCCTATAGGGACCACGTGGCTTTGTGCTTGCTCCTCTCTGAAAAGCTCAGTCTGTCAACATTTCACCATCTCCATGTCTCCTTTCTTTCTTTTTAATCCATTTGTTATTCCAGAACAACATTTTATAATTATTACGCTTTAGCCCCAGCTGCTGGTAAAATAAAGGTGGTACATCTAAAACACCACTAACTACACATGGGTAACTGGCAGAGAAAAATAACCAGTTCCTGCTTGTTCAAGAGACATAGCCAAAGTATTTGATGGATGAAATAAGAAGAGGAAGGGAGAAAGTTTCTTTAAAAATCCAGTATTACACATATTTACTGATGTACAGCCTGTACTGCTTTGATCTTGCAGTGAGCCTGTATTTCATAAATTGATCTTTTCATTTGGAAAAAGAAGCTTGCACTGAGAAAGTTTCTATTTATAGTTATAAAAATATAGTAATAAAACAACAGATCAAAATAAATACAAATAAGAAACCAAAACAAACCCTTTTCTTCATGGGAATATTTTATTATTTCCTGATGTACACATTCATTATCCCTGGTTTGGGCTTTTTTTCCAAGTCTCATCTGGAAATATTTCAAATGGAATAAATTTTAAATCATTCCCCTTTTGGAATAAGCTACATTTCTGAACTCTTGAAATGTTCTATTTATTCCAGAATTTTACTTTGCTTCCAAGAGCAAGGCAAAGAACTTCATGGAACAATTAGAAAGAACTGGAAAATCCTCATAACATGAAGGGCTGATAGCCAAAAATCCTAAATCTGATGGACTGCCTTGCAGATTGGCATGAACAATGTCTCTCCCCATAAGTAAACCTTAATCTCCTAAGCAGCAAGGAAAATAATTTCTTTTTAAGGTTGCTTTAGTCTTTCCATGCCAAACAATCCCTCTTTTTCTTTCCTTTTCTATATCTTTCTCAATTTTTTTTCTTTTTTCTTTTTTTTCCCCATCATTTTTTTCTATTTTTTCCTTCCTTTTTATCTCCTTTCCTTTCCTGCCCTCTAGTGACCAACCAAGCATGTTCCTAAACAAACTGAGCACACTTCCAAAATACTTCTAAAAGGAATAACAGTGAAATGTTTCTGAGCTGTCCATGGCTGAGCCTCTCAGGCTGTGTTAGTAACAGGTGGGCTACAAACCCCCTTCTGCCTCTAGAAAAGTCCCTACCACATGTATTGGGTGGGATTTGGCATATATTTCAGCTATGTTTTTTCTTCTGTACATGCTATTGTACAGAAGAAAAAACAAAAATATTGGATTTTGCAGATTATTTTCTCATAAAATAAATAAACAAATTACATTAAAAAGGTGAGATGTATGTATGGTGAATCTCAAAAGTCACTGTGAAGGCTATTAATACACCAGTGCTAAAATATGCTGAGAGTCTTTTCTTCCTTGAATTCAAAGCTAATTGAATCCTGCTCTTACAGTGTAATTTTTTTAAGTTGTTTCCATTCATAAAGACCTGCTGTAGTTTCACACTCAAGCTATGCTGGAAGACATGCTGGAAAAGGAAATCAGGCTGCAGATAATTTAGAATAATAGTACCTTTTGGGTATAGTGGTGTGGAGAGAAATGTAGAATTTATTTCAGGCAGTGCTCTTTATAATCGCGCTCCAGCAGAACAGTGAAATATTGTTCTGGATTTCAAATTACTGAGAAGACCTGAGGAGCAGGATGTGTTTGTATTTACACAGGTACTTGCACTTCCACACATTTCTAGATACAACATCCCTTCTTTAATTTTAAAATGAAAGTAGTCACGTTAGTGCACTTGCTACTTCTGCTGTGGGCCCAGAGAAGGGTTTGTGAGCTCAAAAGCTTGTATAGCTTTCCAAACATGTTAATGGTGACAATAAAAGATACAAATGGCAGCATTGCAGGTCCTGTTTTCAGTCTGTGGGGCCTGCAGGCAGGAAGGGAAACTCTCATCATGCAGACTTTGGAGAAGTTGGGAAGGTCTGAGAGGGCCTATGAGACAGAGTTGATGACAGTTTATGCAGGAACATTAGGGCCCCATGCAAAGCAGTGGATGAATTATGTATGTGTGGGACTCTGGCTATTCCCTGCCTGCGGAGCACAGCTTGGAATTTCAATGGAGGCACAGCGAAAAGCCAGTGGGATTACAGGAAACACACATGACCAAGGCATGACGTTTGTCAGTGCATGTGGTTTCTGCCCTGTGCTGGCTGCATTCTTCTGTCACACTGCTGTGGCTATGTGTAAATTACCAAACTGAACAGGACACAGACACAAGTATCAGACCTTGATCTGTCACTAGAGCATGGTGACAGCCTGGTACAGCTTGTAGTCTCCCAAAAAAAAATTCCTGGGTGCAGTTTAGGCATTAGCATGGACCAGGGAGAGAAAATTTGGATGTAATTGCCTTCTTTCAGGGACAGGGACGTTTGACAGAATGGAAGACTTTACAAATGTGCTAGATCCTTTCCTTGCCCTTAAGTAATTTCATTTCTTAATGTGACAGCAGCCTGCAAGTTGAATTGAGTTTGGAGGTACACATCTCTGCATTTGCAACAGGAAGCTACTGACCCTATTCAATTACCTTTTCCAAAGTGTTTTAATATGGTGTGAATAAAAAAACACATTTCAGAACTATCAACTGAATTCTCTTCTAGTCAGTCCCATCTGGGCTCAGGCTTCCCCCACCAAGCCAGTGAGGTTTATTGCAGGGCTGCGGGGGGAGAGAGACAGGATAATTTCTGTTCTCCTCCAAAACCTTGAACTGGCAAAGTCAACTAACAGGTTTTTTAATATCTGGTTTTCGACATTAATAAAGAGAACTATGCTATTTATGTTGTATAATTTCCATGACATAGTTATTTTGCAAGCACTGAACTTCCTCGGACTCACAGTATTTTCCTATATAAGCAACTGTGCAAGGATCATGAAGCCATTGGCACCCAAATGCAGTCTTCCACACTTTGCGGGGGGGGGGGGCGGAAATCCCTGAACAGAAAAATCCCTACATTTAATTACTGAGAACAGCAAAGGCACATTCGTTCTTCTGGGACGGATCGCTAGTGCTGTACTTTGTTGTGCCCCTCACCACCCCCGCCAAGGGGGCAAGTTACGGAGAGCCCGTGTGGGCGGTGTCCCCGTGCGGGGCTCTCCCCGTGTGGGCGCTGTCGCCGGGGCCCGCTCCGTGCCGGGGGCCCGCTCCGTGCCGGGGCCCGCTCCGTGCCGGGGCCCGCTCCGTGCCGGGCCCGCTCCGTGCCGGCCCCGCTCCGTGCCGGGGCCCCGCTCCGTGCCGGGCCCGCTCCGTGCCGGCCCCGCTCCGTGCCGGCCCCGCTCCGTGCCGGGGCCCCGCTCCGTGCCGGGCCCGCTCCGTGCCGGGGGCCGCAGCACCGCGGCCGCCGCTGGGTGGCTCCCGCGGCGTGCGCCTGCGCACGAGGCTGGCGGTGCCCGGATCCCTCCGCCGGGCGCAGCGCCCGCCCGGGAGCGCGTGCGGGGCCCCGTGCGGGGCGGCGGGGGCTGCGCGGGGCCCGGCCCGGCCATGGCGGCGCGGAGGTGCGCGGGCGGCGCGGCCGCCCTGGCCGAGGCGCCGGGCTGCGGCGCGGCGGCGGCAGAGCCGGCCCGGGAGCTGTTCGAGGCCTGCAGGAACGGGGACGTGGAGCGGGTCAAGCGGCTGGTCCGGCCCGAGAACGTGAACAGCCGGGACACGGCGGGCAGGAAGTCCAGCCCGCTGCACTTCGCCGCAGGTACAGGGGCAGGGGGAGCCGGGGAGCAGCGTCGCTTCCCGGGGGCGCCGGGCCGGGCCGGGCCGCTCGGGCCTCGCCGCTCGGGCCGGGTGCAGCGCCGGGGTCCGAGCGCTCCGCCGGCCCCTGAGCATCGCGGCCGGCCCGGCCCCGGGACCGAGCCCGTGTCACCCACGCGGACGGGTCTCCGAGCTGCCGGTGCAGCTGCGTCTGTTCCCTCATTTGCTTTTTCTTCCCCCCCCCCCCCTTTTTTTTTAAAAAAACAAATCTCATCTGGCTTTGAGGACACATCTGGAGTGGGGTTTATGCTGTTCGTGTTGTGACACGTGAGCTCTGACAGGGACACATGTCCCACGTACAGTTCTCATGGATTTCAGCGGGCCTGTGCATTTTTAGAATTGAACGCATGAAGGTGTTCGTCAGATAACACCGTTTCTAAGCTTTTTGCGTTCTTATCTTTGACAAATGGACTTTGTTAATTCAGGACGTAAGTGAGCAAACAACTGACGTCACAGGACAACTGCTTTCACTGGCAATTGGCCAGAAGATTGTATCCCACCTTTTCAGACAAAGACCTGACTGTGACTGTTGTTTTCATGTTGGTTGTTCGGTTTAAGTACAGCCGTAGATGTTGGACTCTAAGGCTGACAGTCTGCAGAAAACAACAGCTTCTTTTCAGCTAATCAATATGGATAATAACAAAGATGTTGTTTCTTTATTAGATTGTCTTGGTAAAGGTTTCTGCTAAAGGTGTCCTTTCCTCATGTTAAAAGAGCTTGACTCAGGCTTAAGAGGTCTAAGTTCTTGAAAGCCTCCTCAGAACAGCAGTATTTCATAAATTCAAGAAGCCTAATCGGCAAGACAGCTCAGGAGACAAAACATCCTGTCAGAGGAAAACAGTTTTTGTAGCTGTTTTTTCATATGCATCAATCCTACCTGCCCACTGAACTTCTAAACAACTGTGTATGTTTTAGAGCATTTTGGAGAAGTGAGGGGTTGTTTTTATTTATTTATTTGCTTTTTGTTAGTTTTGGGGTTTTTTTGGCCTAAGATGTTTCTCATTCACTGTAATGATCTAGTTTATCTCTCTGAATAGGGGTGATCTGTCTTGACTTTATATTACTCCTGATAGGTAGAAAGATTTTTCTTTAAAAAATGCATAGCCGTAAGTTCATGTAGTTGTTAGATTTCGAAGGTTAGGCAGGTTGGTGTGTAAATGGGAGATACTGCTGTCATGCACAAGTCACCATGACTTGGTACAGAGAAATTAATTGTTCTTCTCAGGGGCCTGTAGGAGACGCTAAGGGTTTCTGGTTAAGATGGGACAGAAAGCACTTGTGTGATTTCTCCATGGAACTTTATTTACTGCCTCAGGTCTAGTTCTGCTGTTACCAGCCCACCTGCGATAGGCTCTGTGTGAAAGGTGGACATAAGTAGCTCTTGGACTTGGGCCTGACTGGTTTTGTTTGGTTTTGTCTTTCCCCTATTATTCACAGTTGGAATAATACTCACTTCTTTTGTCTGTGCCTCTGAAGGAGTCACATTCCAGGAAGTAAAAGCAAAAATCTGTTGTATTCCTGCTTTGTTTAAGAGTAATCTTAGAAAATGCATTACAAAACTTCTCTGACTAATTTCATTCAGTTTCAAGACTTCTTTTATGGAGGAGCTGGAGCTGAAATACACCAGGTCACCACGGTTTTTATTGCTCTTTTTTCCTTTTTAAGTGACATTCTGGATCTGAACCTAGGTTATATTTTTAAAGACTTTTCCCAGATCTTACCTAACAATTAAAAAATAAATTCCTCTTTTTCCATGTGTGCGTTGGTAAAGGTGGATTTTGAAGTAAAAGGTGTAAAAAAAAAATCTTCAAGTTCTCCCTAGAAATGTGTCATTATCAGAAGTAATACATGTTGGAATTTTGCTGGAGCTTGCTCTTTGGATTTTGTAGTACACAACTGTGTGTGTGATAGTTAAGTTATCCTGAAGGTTAAGTCAAGAGCCCACCACCCTTCACAATAAAAGAGTCTCCATCCTCTCCCATCATAAACTTCATATACTTCCTCAAGTCAGTCTTTTTCATCACAGTGTGTGTCAAAGTCAGAAGTTTTTAAGGACTTGGCAGGTACCAAAATGCCCATCTTGCAATCTAAATTTCATTAAAAATACGAACACCCAGGGTAGGGAAGAAGAATTTGAGCTAAGTTCTTTCTGTTAGCTTTTTATCCATCAGAAGTAGCTGGATGTCAGTTATGACCCACAGTGACTGTAAATAAATACCTTTTTAAAATTATACACACTTGTACATTTCTACTGTGATTAATAATAGCAAATTGTCAGCTAAAAATTTGTAACTTTCCAGGAAACAAGTGCAGTGAGCTACTCAACTGTTACAGGTGGTAGAACTGTCGGCTCAAGGTCCTGAGTAGCCAGCCTTTCTTGTTGGCAATAAAAAACAAAGGGTTCATGATGATAAGACCATTACGTTGCAG